CTCCTTCCCATAAGGAATTTTTCGCCTTCTAAAAGTTAAAAAAGAGTTAAAAGGCAAAAAAGGTCAAATGCAAAAGAGGCACTAATTCTTCCATCTCCTGATCTGGAAGCAGCGAATCATGTCTTTTTGAGCACGCTTACGTTGGGCGGGGCGTGCTTCAGAGGAGAGAGGAGTGGGCGAGAAGGAGGAGGCTGGCTCTTTGCTGCAGACCTGGGCGCTTGGCGGCTCCCGCGATGCAAAGTGCCCTGCCGCCCCCGATGCTACCGCCCGCCCGCTGCCCCGGCCTGCTTCTTCAGGCTCCGCCACTGGAAGTCCCGGATCGCCTCTGGGGGAAGGCTGGGTGAGAAGCGGAGTGAAGCTTCTCCGCAGCCTCCCGGCGCTGCGAAGAGGCTCTCGCAGGAGCGCGTGCCAGCGGCCGGTGGCCCGGAGCGGCCCCGGCTACGAGACAAGGCAGTGCTTAAAGCAACCCCTGCCGCCGCCACCACCCCACTGCAAATTCCCCCCCCCGCCGAGGCCGACCGCTGCCCTGCTTCGCTGCTTCGCAAAAGGATGCCCAGCTGAGCCTCACCAGGTATAAACCTCACCGCACGTCACTGATATGTACACATTTGCGCTTTTTTGCTTCAGATCTTGCTTTTCTTTAGCTGTTTTCATTTCGTGTCCAGTAAAAGTATCTTTATCGCTATTCAAATGGAGTTGGGAGTTTTCTTTCTTGGATATTGAATGAGGCACACCTGACAACTATCTTAGGTTTCCTTTGAGGTCAACTGGTTCTTCATTAATTCTTTCTAAAAAGGTTCATTTCTTTTTTCTTATTAGTTCTTTAATATTAACTTTTTCCCTTTATTATTCTGACATCCTTTCTGTAATGTTGTTTCCATTTTACAATCTCTTATTTCCTATCTTAACATCACTTTTTATTTTGAACTTTCGTGCTTAACTTTTGATTTCAGCTCAGTATTACTTATATTTTTCTGTTCATTCTGATACATTTCCTTTTTGAAAATTATTACTTAACTTAGCTTAAGATAAAATTCTCTTTACAAAATACTATTGCAGGATTTAGAGAAATCAGCAAGGATGTCCAATTGCTGTCATTATGTTATCTTTATTTACTTTTAATTTTCTAATATTGTATGAAGCTCAGGCGAAAACTTTGTTTTAATAATATAGGGAACAGAGAAATCAGCAAGAATTCCAGTGAATGCTAGGATAGTGGATTAGGGTTTCTAGTCTTTCTGATTATGGTTTATTCAGATTTGGATGGATTTGATAGTCTACAACGTCCCTCTAACTCTTTGACTCTGCTATAATGGATTCAAGTTTGTTATATTTCTCTACTGTACTTTCACTTAGAATACTGAGATGGTTGTTTTTTCTATATTGGCAGTAATTTCTATTTTCTGTTGAACTTCCATAACATTCATGTAACTTCAGCACATGGGAAAATATTTATACAGTAGCATCGTGTTTGAAAACTTTCCATGAACTAAGCAGCTGTAATTATCATCTATGATGGTGTTGATCTTGGATTTGTTGATTCATTTTACTTTGTTTCTGCCTCAGTTTACCACTGACAAACTGATGTTTTAACATCAATAACTTTTACAGAGATCTGAAACTGGATAATGTGCTGCTGGATCATGAGGGCCACTGCAAGCTGGCAGATTTTGGAATGTGCAAAGAAGGAATCCATGATGGGATCACCACCGCAACATTCTGTGGAACCCCTGACTATATTGCTCCAGAGGTACAGGAAAGGTTTCCATTTCCTTTTAATGGGTTTTAAACCCCAAATTTCCATCATATTAATGGAGTCCTAACAAACAAATATCACTTTAAAATCTGCTTGGCTTGGTTGGTAAAATAAAATATTTAACAAAAGAAAATAGCTGCATAATTTGTACACTTATCATCATAATTTGTACAATTATCATCAATTTATGCTTAAAAGTTCCCTGTAAAGCATTTGGATATATGTTTGCATGAACCTATATGTCCATGCTTATGCCTTATACGTATGCAGAACAGATGATGTACTCATGGGAGTCAGGAGTGGTATTCACTTATCTTCCCTACCGGTTCACAAATGTGAGTGCACTTGCACTCACCCTTTGCTCATACCTGCCATGTCCGCACATGTGCTCAGCCTTCCGCGCATGCGCTTTGGCTAAAAACAGTTCCCGAATGGGATGCCATAGAGCTGGGGTAAGTGGGTGGGGCCAGCCACGATTTCCGTTATCAGTTCGGCCGAACCGGTCCAAACCACCAGAACACCACCTCTGATGGGAATACTCCTGTACATCTGAGTAGATAGCCCATACATGGCCAGCTTATGATGATGTATCATAAAGGAATTGTTTTTCACATTTATAAGTGGAACTAAATCTCTTTGGGTATGGGAACAGACAAACACAGTAATAATCCAGTGCAGAATAGGTGATTGCCCACTGGAAATAATATATATGTACATTAGCATATCAATCTTATACAATACACTTTTATGTTTGGTTATCTCAAATTATACATTAGGTCAGTATGTTTTCTGATTTTGAAATCAGTTTTCTGATCCTTATAATGTGTCTCTTTCTCATTTGACACATTCATATATTTCTTGATTTCCTTATATCTGATGTCCAATGAATTGACTTCCTTAAAAATTAAGTGATATAAAAATTCTACCTGTGAAAATTAGAGTTGTGATGACTCATACAATATGTCATTACTTCATGTTGCATTTATCAAATGAAGGCTAGGCAACAGTAAATATATACATATTGTAACCTTGGGATAAAATTGTCCCTGAGTCAATATGAAATGTTTATCTATTGTATTTGACACATAATACAAGTCGTAAGGTAACAAAGAGGTTATCAGGTGAAGAATAGTAAAGACTCAGAAGAGCATTAATGATTTCTACTCTTTTCTTTAATTGCAGATTTTGCAGGAGATGCTTTATGGTCCCGAGGTTGACTGGTGGGCGATGGGGGTACTCCTGTATGAGATGCTTTGTGGCCATGCTCCATTTGAAGCGGAAAATGAGGATGACCTATTTGAAGCTATCCTCAATGATGAAATTGCCTACCCAACATGGCTTCAGGAAGATGCAGTGACAATCTTGAAAGCTGTATGTATATCCTAATTTTTATTTTTGTTTGTAGTAGTTTCCTCTATTTAATGTGCTTTGTAAGACAGGCATGAAAACACTGAAGCCAGATTAGATTTTAACTCAATGCACACATACAAGAGAAAAACCAATGTGGTATAAATGCAAAAATAAAATCTTTTAAAACCCTAGAAAAGAGACATATCTTAGCTGGATGGGGAGTAAAAATAATGGTAAAATCTCCAACTTGGCCTTAATTCCTAGTATCATCATAAAAATATCCATATAGTGTTGTTGGCCACAATAAGGAAAACAATTTGCTGTTGTTTTTTATTTTCCAGTCTATTTCTCAACCCTGAGATTGCCTGATAATCTCCACCTAAGTTTAACTAGTCCCATCCAGAGGTGGGTTCCTAATGGTTCAGACCGGTTCGGCCAAACTGGTAGTGGTTTGCCAGCCTGGGTTGCTGGAACCGGCAGTGACCCAGACCTGCCATGCCTCCAAGCCAGTTCCCTGGTCGGCACGGCATGCCACCCCCCCATTTTTTAATGTTTTGCGCATGCGCAGACCTATTAATGGGCAACTGCGTATGCATGCGAAGCAAGCTGAACTGGCAGTAATGCCAGCAGCAACCTACCCCTGGTCCCATCCTATTTAGCCGACATAGCTAAGTACTCTTGGCTGGGCAAAAGTAGAGAGTGCTGGGACCAGTTTCCATTTCTGAAGAAATATATTCTGTAAGATGACAGCAATGGAGGTGAACAAAGGTCCTGTTCTATGTGTCCCTGAAATGACAGGCCATTTTTGAAAAAGTTCCTCCAGATGAACTTTTGTCCTGATAGGTTTGTAATCCCCTGCCTCAGTAGTGGGTTGCAGGTGGTACGCCCTGGTACGAGTGTACCAGTGCCTGCCTGGAGCACCGGATACTGTTCCGGTATGGTGCTCCGGAGGGCTCATTTGTTTGCCTGAGCTCCTTACCTGTATTTGAGCTCTTCGGGGCTTCCATGCATGCACATGGCGCCTGTGTGATGCTCTGCCGAGCAGCTGGAGCGTCGTGGAGGTTTGCGGAGTTGTCGCAAGAGGTAAGAACGCATGCTTCTGCTGCACACATGTGCGCATGCACTGTGCACATTCATATGGTGGACGCCGGGCCCATTGCACTGTACCAATTGCATCGGGATCCGGAACCCACCACTGCCCTGCCTCCATTCTTCTGTGACTCCTCATTGTAGCTTATGAATAGTTGCTCCAAAGTGCTACCAAGAGGAGTTATATTTTATGTTTATAGAGATGAACTTGGGGAATCATGTCATGATCTTTGCTTCTCCCTATTTAACAAAAAGTGACACATATCTTTTTAAGAGAGCGTAACTGTTCCATGGGCACAGCTAGTCATGTGGGGCATGAATTTGATCTACGATTTCTCTAGTGTAATTATAATTGTGTAACTGAACCACACTACTACCCTTCTTTATCTTTAGGGATGATGTGGCTTTAAAGATATGCTTTGTATTCCAAAAAGGTTGCGTGCAAATCTTCAAAGGGAAAATGATATGCATAATAAAATGATGGAAATTTCATGGAACTATTGAAATCTATGTATTTTGTGAGACCTTGGTATTCTCTTAGGACTTAGGAGATCTCAATAATCTTATAAGAATGGTACCCAGGGTTTATTGAGGGGCTACCAATGCCTTCTTTAAGACAATGTCTACACCAGGGGTGTCCAAACTTGGGAACTTTAAGACTTGTGGACTTCAACTCCCAGAATTCCCCAGCCAGCAAGTTTAGACACCCCTGGTCTAGACTCTATCAGGCCAAATTATGTTAAAGCTGGAAAAGTCTAAGGAGAAATTTCTTGACAGTAAAGACAATTTATCAGTGGAACAGCTTGCCTTCAGAAGTTGTGGCCACTCCATCATTGGAGGTTTTTAAGAAGAGACTGGACATCCATTTTTCTGAAATGGCACAGAGTCTCCAGCTTGAGCAAGGAATTAGACTAGAAGATCTCCAAGGTCCCTTCTAACTGATGATGATGCTAATGATGCACTAGATGCACTTGGACCCTTTGTGACCTGACCTGATCTTTGACAACTAACAAATAAATAAACACAAATATTTCCTTTTTTGGTTCAATTCTGGTGGTCAAGAAAGAAAAAGAAATGTCAAGGAAGTCACCTCAGATCAAGTATCTACTGGACCCAGGTTGAACCAGTATATATTTTGCATTAAATGCATGTATTCCTTTATTACAGGAATTTATTCCCCAGTTGGCTGGGGAATTGTGGGAGTTGAAATGCACAAGTCTTAAAGTTAAGGTGACCAGATGTCCCACTTTTGGCGGGACAGGCCTGATTTTTCAAAATTTGTCCCGTGTCCCGCGGTGTGTTCAAAAAGTCCCGATTTTCCAAAAGAAAGAGAAGACACCGAATCATCAATTTTAAAAATGACACCGTTAAAAAAAAGTTTTTATTTCTCTGTGTCATTCCCGATGTGGCCTTTAGAAGGCATTGGTTTCCCTCCCTCCGCTTGGCTTCCTCGAAGCGCCCGATGAGGGGCAAGGCTCCCTCCCCTCTTGTGCATGCGTGTGCCGACAGGCGATGTTTTTGCGACAGCTGTCCGGCGGCTTTGGTCAGGGGGGGCTTTCCGGCGGTGGCAGTGCGGCGAGGAGGAGGCCAAGCGGCTCAGCCATCGGAAGTTGGTTTTTTTGCCCACTTCTCTCGGGCGCCGCTCTCCCTGCAGCCATGCCGTGCAAGCCACTGTCAGCAACCTGGTCCGAGTGAGCCGAGGGGAGGCAGGCAGGGATCCGTTTGGGAGAGGCTGGCGATGGGGGTGGCTTTTGAAAGGGTTGGAGGTCATTGGGGGAAGGAAATCAGGGGAAGGCTTTTTTTTTTTACAGCTCAGGTGCTCCGAGCCCCCCCCCCATCAATGGTGTCCCGCTTTACCCATCTTAAAATCTGGTCACTTTATTCTACAACCCAAGACATTGCCCAGTGAGCAACTGTGGAGCATGCTCACAACAGTCTTAAAATTTGGTCACTTTTACTTAAAGTTCCCAAGTTTGGACACCCATGGTCTAGACTTTTATCAGTCCATTTATGTTAAAGCTGGAATAGTCAAATGCAAATCATGTAGTGCCATGAATATTATCTCATGAAAAACAAGAACTAAACCAAAAACAAGACAGGGCAAAACAGGCAGTGTCTGTAATTCCTAGTTTTGTTCTTTGGAGGTGGCCTCTGAGACAAAATAGTAATTTTCTCCTTAGTACCAGATCCTTTGAATGGAAAGAATCAGGAGGAAAACAATAGTGATGACAAGGGGATGCTTGTTTGAACCTACAAAAACTCTTCTCCCCCCCCCACCCAATAATTTATTTTAATGAACAAATTTGTTGTGGGCTTCCGAGGCCATTAATACTTCTGTGCAATAAGAAAGCCAGTAACATGTTATGTCCAAATACAATTTGTTCATTTTTTAAATGCTTATAGTTTAAAGACAGGGGCTTTTGCAAGTCTTTTCATCTAAATCTGGGGACTTTTCACTAGCAGACAGAGGTTCTTCCTGCCCCCTCATTGCTCAAGCTGACATGACTGTGGTGGGAAGAATTAGGTCTGATCATGGGAAACTCAGCTGCAATGCCCCCCTCTTATATTTCTATTATAAAATATAAGAGTCTTTTCCTTTTGATATGTTAGTCCTGATCCTCAAATTTTCTATGTATATCTGTATGTATAAGTGATGGGATATGTCCAGTGCGCCCCGGTACGGGCATACCAGTCCCTGCTTGGAGCACCAGGTATCGTTCCGGTATGGTGCTCCGCAGGACCCACATGCCCCCCCCCCCGCTGTCCTTCTTACTGGTATTTGAGCCAATCGGGGCTTCCGCGCATGGAGCCTACGGCCCCTGTGCGACACTCCACCAAGCAGCTGGAGTGTCACAGAGTGTTATGGGGGGTAAGTATGCATGTGCGCGCTGCATGCGTGCATGTGGTGGACACTCAACCCCTTTGCACCGTACCAGTTGCAATGGGATCCGGAACCCACCACTGGTGTGTATGTATGTATGTATGTATGTACGTAGGTACATATGTACTATATGTTGGTTTGAGCTCTGAGCTTGGCGATTTGGATGCAAATGTTTCATCACCATTCGAGGAGACGTCTTCAGTGTCCTTTGGATTGTGCTTGTCTGGGAGCAAAATAAATTTCATTCTGGAACAAAATATTTTCACATTGTTTTCTGAAATGACATATAAATTTTGCTCTATTGTGAAAATATTTGGTTGATTACATAATCAGCCAGATGTTTAGACTGAAATTGGCATTTTTATCCACCTATCAAGTCCTTTCCAAGGACCTGGGATAGGCAGGTGATGTTATCTGATGATGTTAAAGATATCCTTATAGGGTACAAGTAAAGCTGCTTTTCACAATTGATTGATGGTAATGTTGTCAATGCTGATGGTATTCAAGCATTGCTCCAGATGATTTGGAATTTCACCCAAGGCACCTACTAATTATTATTATTAATATTTTAATAGCTTATTTAAATGCCTAGTAGTCCTCATCTGTTCTAATCACTTGAGTTATGAAATAATGTAAATCAATTAAACATTAAATCAAAACAAAATTAGTATTATAAATCTGCCTCAGTTGTCATTGCCATTTTAATGTTTTGTTTACCCAAGCCATTTTGGAATGTGTTTGTCCTGCTTTCTCAAAGTTGCCCTTTATTCCTTCTTAAGACGCTTGTACTATAATTTTTATTTAAGCTTCTGGGAATAAGTTGAACTGAATTCAGTGAGGCTTGTTTTTGAGCAGACACTTGTGGAGGTTATGTTTCCATACAAATGCTTGCATCATTTTTAGCTTAATTAGTAATTCCCATCCAGAAACGTAAAACTGTGGCCTTTGGAAACTAATAAGGATTTTCATCTACAGAAATATATTTATGAGAATACTTCAGGAATTTACATCATCAGAATTTCCAGTGATTCACTGGGGGCAATGCATATATATTGTTTCTGGAAATGTTCTTGCTATTAAATGTATTGTTTTGAGTTAGGAAATTTCTGGAGAAAGCCTGCCAGTTTCAGGATTATGAATCTAGCACTCCCACAATAGCCACCCAACCAAAAGAGACTTTATTCACTTCCCATTTCAGCCCAATTCTAAGGCTATGCTAGATCTCTTCAACTTCAGTTACCCATATTCCAACAGAAGAATGTCTCTCTCCCTGATCTATCACACTTC